TCTAAGGGTATCAAGCGCCTAGTTCCCAAAATCGAAAAACTCCGAGATGCAAAATCAACATGCCAAAACATAAATCACAAACATTCTAGGACGAAACCTGCTGACTCTGCTCAAGCCTCGCCTGCTCCTTTTCATCAGCCGTCATCTCAGCCGCCGCCTCGCCAAGATTAATAGTAGAGTTGAGAATCAACGCCAGCCCCGCCAGCCCGACACCCAGCCAAAAGCCAATCTGGTACTGCTCGCGCAGGCTAACACTCTCCCCGCCGCGCTCGCGGTACTCGACCGTGGTGGAGACGGCCAGCTCGCCGATACCCAGCCAAAAGGCCATGCCCAGGTACAGCAGGCTGTTGATGAGGGCGCCGGCTGTGGCCTGGAGGCGGGCCGGCATGGCCGTGGTGATGAAGATGTTGGTCACGTTGTACAGGATGTCGACGCCAATGGTGCCGCACAGCATGGCCGGGAAGACGTAGGCCCAGTACAGGAAGGTGAGAGAAGGTTCGCCGTCGTCGGACCGGGAGGGCATGACGGCAAACAGCAGGACCGAGATGAGGTAGCCCAGTCCCGAAATGATGAGGAGCACGCGGCCGGGTAACAGGTGCAGGACGAGACCGCCGGCTACCGCTAGGAACATGCCGCCTACTGCCAGTGGTGTGAACCATGCGGCGGTTTGGAGGGGGGTTGTGTTGAGAACCGTCTGGAGTCTGCGAAGAGGTCATGTTAGTTTTATGCCAACGGAAGGAATTTGAAATGCCATGGGCGATCAACTTACTGGTAACTGGCGTAAAACAGGAACAATCCAAAGCAGCCGTAAGAGGCAAACATGGATGTTGCTAGGCGTCTCATGTACTTTGGTCGGAACAATTCAGCGGGCAAGAGAGGTTGTGCGGCAACCCAACCTTCAATGTACACGGCAACACACAAGAGCAGGGCACCGATGACAAACGTGACGATAATGTACGGAGTCCTCCAGCCCTGCGGCGCATGACTGCCGTCGGTCAGAGCGTACACGACGAGGGCAACGCCCGGCACAATGGTAGCTACGCCCCACCAGTCCATGCGCACGTCCGCGTTGCCGTCGCCCAGGTGCCGGGGGATGGCCAGGAAGGCAATGACGGTGTTGACAAAGACCATGATGGTGCCGATGAAAAAGAACCAGCGCCAGGTGAGCAGCTGGCCGGCCACGGCGCCGACAAAGATGCCAATGTAGAAGCCCACGCAGGCCATGGCGCCGTAGGAGCTAAAGACGAGGTTCTTACGCGGGCCGGGACGGTAGAGGGTGCCCAGGAGGGAGATGCCGGCGGGGAGGTAGGCGCTGGACCCGAGACCCTGCATGGCGCGGCACACGATGAGCATGGTCGGGTTCTGGCTGAAGCCGGCGACGAGGGACCAGACGGTGAGCCAGGCGTGGCCGAGCAGGAAGATGGCACGTCCGCCGTGGCGGTCGCAGAGCCGGGCAAAGGGCAGGAGCAGCGCCGCCGTGGTCAGGTTGATGACCTCGGCGGGCCAGGTCCGCTGGGCGTCGGGTATGTCGAGCTCGCTGGCAATGGTGGGCAGCACAATGTTGAAGCCGCTGACAAAATACTCGGCCATCATCATGGACATGACGACGGTCGAGACAAAGGCGATCTCGGTCGTCAAGTGGGTAAAGGCGGCCGGGCGCTCTCGTCCAAGCCGCTCAATGTCGGTCTTGGTGAGGGTATCGGGCGAGTCGCTGCCGTCATAGACTCCGCTTTCGGGAGGGACGCCGCCCTCTCCGTTTACCAGCATGGAAGCCATGTTGCTGAGGTGTGTACAGCAGTCAAGTGAATCCAGGTAGTAAAAGGCGATTGTAGGTCTAAGATAGACATGTGTTTGCTCTGGCAGTTTCCATCATGATCAAAAGTCTTGGGCCGGCCAAGTCTTATTATACTACTATGGCACAGTTTAGATCCAGACCGCTCGCTGTAAGGGATTGGTAAGAACTGACTGGGGGAGGAGAGAGAAAAAGTGGATTTGTCGTGTATGAATGTGGAATATTTCACCACGATCCGCTTTGACAAGACTGCAAGTCCCCGAATCTAGATATGCACGACTTGCAACGCTCTGCCCAAAAAGAGCAAAGTACATATCTGTTGCCGGCCGTTGGGCGATCTGGGCTGGGATTCACCAGGCGGGACGGCCCCTCCGCCTGGCTGCTGGGAATACCGCCAAACGAGAATGACACATTGGTTCCATAGATTTTCCTTCTACCGCGCCTCAATGGCATTAAACCATCAGTCATCTAGAAGCCTGGGGGAGAAGGAACGGGGTGTGCTTGCGGCTCTCGTGGCAAAGTGGTTCCTCGGCGCCAAAACCCGTGGCAGTCGTGGATGATGACTGGCAAACCTGCAATGCATAGGGCGCAAATAGGTCGGGTTTTGCTCCGGGATGACGCTAGAATCGAGGACCCCAGTTGGACATGCAGAAGTTGCGTCTTGGCTTCCATATAGGGAATGGCCGGTTTGACTTTGACCTCAAAGGGCTGGAGCTAATTACCTAACCCACGAGGCCGCTAGAAGAGTATGTCCGTTCCATGGATCGAATTCCATGCCCCATTCCGCCCGGGACTAGATTTCGGCTCGGGCGCGGGCTGTTAGTCAGAGTTGGAATCTTTCCTCTTGTCTGATCTCCTTCTTCCATCTTGGCTCATATAGGAAGCCAAGCCTCAACTCTTACGTCTCTCATGACAAATCCAAGAAGCTTCTCTCAGTCGAATTAGACGATTGACTCATCAGCAAGGGAAGTTACCTTGAATGTGATGCCTGTGTTTGCTTACCTGGTGGCCGATTGCGCGGACTTTGGCTAAACGTCTGCCCCCGTTTCCTCATCAGCTTATCAATAACTCGATCTCGTCATACAAGGGTCCATTCTGCTTGCCTTGACCCCTTGGAGGGTTAGTCACCAGACAAGCCCGGCTCCGGCCCATGGCTACCAAGAGCTGTCACAATTGCCGCCGGCGTCGGCTCCGGTGCGACCGCTCACTGCCGACCTGCAACAAGTGCAGCACGGCTGGGCAAGAGTGTCTCGGGTATGACAAGATTTACCAATGGACCAATGCTGTAGCCTCTCGCGGCCGCCTGGCGGGAAAGGCTTCCTTTGACAACAACCGCAGTATCAATACGACCCATGGACATCAAAACACGAGCAAGGCTCTCGTGCGAGGGGGCCGGCATAGCGATCCACCCTCTTGCGCGGCCGTTACCGTGGATGAGAGCATGGTGGCCGGTCTCGTGGATCCACTATTCCAACACATGGACAAGACTGCGAGGTTCTATCTAAATTATTGTAAGTGGTCAATGAATGGAGATCCAGTGCATACCTACCTACCTCGTTTCCATTTTGGCTGAACTTGGCTTGCCAACCATGCGTATTAGTTTCGAAGCGAATCTGTCAAGAATTGATTGTCCATGATTCTCTCAAGCTGCAAGGAAACCCCTTCCGCCAGCTTATTGCAATGTCCACATCATATCCCTTTTTACAGGACATTCTCGTAGCATCATCCGCCATGCATTATGCCAACATCATGCGGCGCGCCTCTGCCTCCAAGGCTTCGGTAGATGCCCTCGTCGATGCGCTGAGGACGCGGGCCGATGCCATCAAGGGACTGCAGAAGGTCCTCGAGCGACAAAAGTTCGACGACAGGCACTCGGATGAAAAGGAGGCCTTGCTGGCGACGGTCCTCTTCTTTATCAATTTTGCCCTCATCGACTCGGGCAAGGGCGGCTGGCGTTCTCATATGCGAGCGGCTCGGCAGCTGATTGCGGCCCAGGCGTCCAACTTTGCCTTGATGCCCAGACAGCTCGAGGCGGATCCGGAGCAGCTTGGTGATGTCGCGGACGCGGACTCATCGTCGGCACTGGTGATACCAAACATGTACCTCGACACCACTGCCACGCGGCAGAGCCTGCAGTCCCTGCGGTATACGTGCAACTCGATCGGCATACGCGACTACGTGGCCTCGGACTCGGTCGCCTACTACATCTGGGGAACGACGCTGGACTCGCTCTCCAACTCGGCCACGGGCGTCCGCAGGGCTAGCGTCATCGAGGTCGACGAGATCCGCCACATCATTGACAGGACAGAGGCCAACAGCTACCACAGCTGCCCGGCGCAGCTCCTCCTCCTGATCCTGCGCATCTCGCGCCTCGCCCGCCGCGCGAGCACCAACGAAAACGCCGCGCCGACGTTTGCGGAAATGGACACGTTTCTCGAGTTCCTCGCCGAGGCACAGGCGTTTGTGCCCAAAGTCTGGGCGCACTGGGTGTGCGCTGCCAACGCCCATGTCCGCGCCGTCGACGAAATGGAGATCAATATGCGTACTGCCATTGCCTCGGCGTACCAAGCCGCCGTGGCCCTGTACGTGCTGCTCTCGGCGCCGGGGCTAGAGGAGCACGCACAGCAGAAGCGCCAGGATGCTGCTGCCGCCGCCACAATGCCCGAGGAAGCGATGGATGTGGATGTGGATATGCACCCGATACCGCAGATTCCCACGACCAAGGAGCTGGCCGCGACGATACATGCTCACCTCTCCCTCATCCCCTACTGGTACCCGCTCTTTCGCTACACGACCTGGCCCGTCTTCATGATTGGCGTCGAAGCTGTGACGCCCGAGAGCCGGGCTTGGATCCTCAACCGGCTGAGGGTCATGTGGGAGGAGTGTCCGTGGGGCATGATGAAGTCCGCCATGGAAACCTTGACGGAGATATGGCAGCTGCGGGACGGACTCCACGCCACGGACACGACAGATCGAAACTGGCTGATTCAGCTCAAGAACCTGGGCCACGACTTTTTGATTGTATAGAGGACAAAAGTACTAGCACCTCTAAGTAACGACATCAAGGTAACCAAGCTTCAGACCTTGGCTCGGGTTGGTCTGTGGTGAGTTAGGTCGGATAATGGCTTGAGCACAGCGTAGAGAGAAAGGAGACAAGGAAGAATGAATAAAGAAAAATGAAGCAGAGGGGAAACCAGGCAAAAAGAAGCATCGCTCGTGGGACTCGAACCCACAATCTCTCGCTTAGGAGGCGAGCGAGTTACCATTTCTCTAGAGCGACGGGGCAAGGTTGTTGTGTTGCCGCGTTGCCCACTGAGCTATTGAACCCTTTCGGGTTCTCTTGCTTTGCTGTTGAAGAAATTCCAAGTAACTGCGTCTATCACGCCGATGTGTGCAGAACGTTGGGATAATCAGGTTGTCGTTGGTCAATGTTTTTTCTGCTGAGAAATTTGGGTGTTGCAAACGGTCGTCCAGCAAGGCTAATGCAATATCTCTGCCTAATTCCACAAGACAAGGTGAAAGAAAATTGTTCACATACCCCTCACACACAGATATCATTACCATGGATTGGACAAGTTTGAGAATTACAGTTTCAGCCTTGGCTGCAATTACCCGCTGTCAATGTCACTTGGTGCGTGAGTGGTGCTTTCGACGTCATTGAAACGTTTGCACAGCCAATTACAGAAAAAACCACATATTCACCAAACGAGTGAAAGTACTGGCGTTGGCGGATATGAGTGAAGACCAGTATCAAGTCAAAATGGCGAAATTGTGTGACTGTCGTATCGGAAGACTATGCATATCATTATCGTTCCAAAGACTTAGCGACCATTACAGGAGGCAGCAGAACTTGAACAAGTCGTTTTAGGCGCCACTGACTTCTGTTGAACAGCTTTCATCACAAGAATCCCTTGGCGACCAGGAATGATACCATTTACTTGTACATCCAAGACCCTCAACGTACTGTAGGTACGAAACCTAGTCGTATGCGTCTTGGCGGTTTGCCTCCCTCCATCAACCAATAGGGCTTGATCCAACAGGATGTGGACATACGTTTAGGTTTTCGGCTTTTGCGCGAGGCTGACAAGCAGTAGTAGTTCTGCCGAGGGAGGGGCAAACAAGGAAAAGGATGACATTGACATAATATCGTACACCTTCCACTCTGTCTGCTTGGCTCCATGCAATGGGTTGAATGCTCAATGTCCAAATCTACGGCTTTCTCAAGGTCGATGTAATGTCAAGCACTTCCAGAGACACACACGCCAACTAGACAAAACGAATCCACGATACATTCACTGCAAACCAAGTAAGTCATCATGTAGTATTATTATCATCAAATTGTTCATTCTCTGCGATATCTAATGAAGGCGCAGTAAGGGTATCTCTGATAAGAACACGCCGGCTCTGTATCTCGATTGACCAAAGCCTGCCGGCGCACCTGAAAACACAGGGCGGCATAAATTGCAAGCAATGCTGATCGTCCAGTCCACATGTTCAAAGCGCGCTCCTCTCTACAAGCAAGGTTGGTATCAAAAAAATCCCGTCTACAGTGTGCCATCCCAAAAGCAATATAGCGCCCGACAAAAAAACACAAGTGCCACCCATCCCATAGTACAGCACATGGCTGCTCAAGATGTTCGTGATATCATCTCATATCAGTCGTTGAGGCTGGAAATCCAACCAAAAAGATGCCGCGGTGGATCGATTCGTCGCCAGGTATGTCATGGCACGCCAAATGCCGTGTGGACCATTAAACCCGCCGAATTGTTGATTCCGCAAAAGTGTAAACATGAAGCAATAATAAGTTGTTAACACAATCCGAGCCATGGCAAGGCCCGGAATAGGAAGCAGCAATGTCCCGTGTATACGGTGGATCCGTGCGTGGGAAAGCCAGTGATGGAATCGGAAAGTCGACATCCTAAAATGCCGACAAGGAGACAAGCGAATGTCTATAAAATTCGAATGGCATGCTCGCAGTCCAGCTAGAATGCTTACAAACTCATGGTGAGCCATTCCCATTCCTGAGGACCAGCCCCAGCACCAGGCGTCATCATGCCATTTGGTGGGACTCCGGGCATTCCCATCATTCCCGGAGGCATCATTGGGCGCTGCGTCATACCGAACCCGTTGGTCAGGGCCACGTTGCCGGGGTTGGGCATTCCGCTCATGAAACCACTTGCGGAGCTGACCGATCGTGCGGCCTCGTTGGAGCCAGTTGAGTTGGCAGGGCTATCAATGTCCATGCCTCCAGCAGACTCATTAGTGCCCGCGCTCTTGCTGCTGCGTCGTTGTCGCTTGGAGGATCCCGATGTGCCGACATTACGTGTCACTGCAGCTGCTCCCGGGCCAGGTGTATTCTTTGGAGGGGCAGCAGCAATAGGGATAACGCCCTTTCCACCCACTGCTCCATTGGCGGATCCTGCGTAGCTTGTTGGCGTGCTGCCAGCAGTGTTGCCACCAGACGCACCGGCACCACCACTTGCTGGACTTTCGCCTTCGTTAGCACTACCAGCTCGAACAGTCGCCGGTGGAGTAGTAGCTTGCTGTGGTGCATTGTTCGTGACAGAAATGCCCAAGGTCGAGTTCTTGCGCGAAGCAGGCCCAGAGGCTCCGCCCGTCTTCTTTGATCGAGTGCTGGTTCCACCAACTGGAAGATTGGCTCCGGATCCTCGGTTACGCTTCTTGATGACATCTGTCTTCAAACTGAGCGGTCGAACAACACCGTGGAGCTTCAGGAACAAGCCACAAGCATTGCAGAGTGGTTGTCCCTCTGGGTTACGGCGCCAGAGTGGAGTGGTTTGTGTGAAGCAGTTTGTGCAAGTAGTGGGGGCATTGCCGTCGGCTGAGTTGCCAGCAGCACCTTGCAAATTCGTTGTCGATCCCTGCTTCGATCCCAGTGGTGAAGAAGGCCGGCTGGGGTTGACTGAAGAGAATCCTGAAGCGTTGCCAGCCGCATCGGTAGGCGGTGAGTTGGGGTTCGACTGTGCCAATCTCTCGAAAAGGTTTCCACGGCTGCTCGTGCTAAGACCCGAAACGGAAGCGTTGCGTGGAATCTTTTGCCGTCTGTCTCCAGCCCTGAATGATTGAGACCGCGACAGACTGCTCGGGCCGTCCCATTCGCCATTGGAGTCAACGTAATCTGTAGTAGCACCGCCAATCGTGACTTGCTTGCGAGGGGGGCCTCCAGGGTAACGCGCAGCTTGGGTGCTAAACTGTCCTGGCAACGAGGCATCCCATCCAAGGCTGTTGGAGCTGTTCATTTCCATGCCCGAGTCCTCCATGGATGGCGAAAAGGCGGGGTGCATTCCAAGGTTACGATCCGGGAACGAACCACCATCCTCTTCATTATCCGACTCGGCACCAAAGCTGAACATGTTCTGCTCCAGCATGCCCGAGGTGGGAGAGCGAGCCTGGTCCTCCTGGAACACCTGCGTCGGGTCTACATGACCGAAAGTATTCGTCGGAGCAAACGAAGATGATGCATCTGCCGCGTTAGTGCTCGGGGGGAACATGTGGTTGCCGTTTCCTTGGTACATGAACTGTTGCATCATGTGGTTTCCATTGTGTCCCTGGCCTTGGTGGAATTGTTGCTGGTTCTGGTGTCGCATGTCCAAGGAGCCAAAGAACATGTTATCGTTCTCGGGTATAGGGTGTGGTGTGGTGGCGGTGGACTGATAAGTGGATGCAGGTGGGGAGTAGAAGTCGTGGGCGTTCATGGAGCCCTGGGCCAGACTGGATGAGTTATACATGTTCTGGAAAGAGTTATGTGTCACCATTGGCGAGGTGGAAGGCGAGAATGAAAAGTTCTGCTGGAATGGCCCTGCCGATGTGATGATTGGATCATGCTCCATCTGGAAGTTATCCAAGGAAAATGGCTGGTGAGGTGCGTTGGCAACTCCGGATGGGTGTGAATGATCCAGAGAATATTCATGGACATCCGCATCTACGTCTATATCACCTGAAGCCAGGTTACCGACTTGAGGAGAGAAATTTGCAGGACGCTTGAGATTGCGAGTCTGGATGGGGGTTATTAGTTTTAAGTTATCAGGGCGCCATGGTAGAAAGGGTGGCGGTCTTGTCTGGAAATAGCATCGCAGTGCAACGATAGCTCAGAGATATGTATGCAGGGTGCATCAGTGCATTCAGTGCTGGGCATGGCTGGATTGGGTAGACACTTTTTGGGGGGTACCGTAGGTATGTAGGTGGTAGATAGGTAGATAGCAAGGGGTATGGGCGGCGGGCTTGTAAGTGTACTTACGCGTCGATCATCTATACTTGTTTTCCGGTGATGGCGATTGACATAGCCGAATTCGTCCTCATGCCCGCGGTGTGGAGGTACAGGGACGGACTGCGGAACAAAGTGCTGTTGGGGCGAGACCTTGCGGGATTTGATGGGGATCGCAGCAGCTGTTGCATGAGCCGCCTTGTCCTCGGATAGCTTGAGCAGCTCCGGCGAAGCAGGGTCAAGAGGCAAGCCCGCCGGAGTAGATATATTCTCACTAAAAATGAAGTCATCGAGGTTCATTGGATCCGACTGGGCAATGTTCTGGTCCGAGTTTTGTCTTAGCTGCGCAATACCACTTGGAGCATTGCCCGCTGCGCCTTCTTTTGAAGCTTTTTGTCTATAAAGAAAGGATTAATGATTGGTGGATTTCACTCAAGGGTTTTTTTTTTTTTTTTTTTGGTTTTGCAGCAAGGGAAAAAAAGATATTTGGTAAACATACCGAGCCATTTCTTTTGCCCTCTCCTCCTCTTCCTTTTGCTGTTGCTGCTGTTTTCGTAACTTCATGTGCATCATGCGCCAGGTGAGATTTTCCATGCGCTCCTGGCTGGGCAGGTTTTGCTTGGTTTTGCTAAAGAATCGCCAAATCTGTGTCGCTAGCGGGTCGTCCTGCTGCATCTGATCGATATTTTCCTTCTTTGAGGCAGTGGCGCTCGCTGGCCAGTTGGGAAATGCTGAAGAGTCTAGCAGGTCACGATGCGCAATGTCGCCGCTGCTGTTGTTGTTGGACAAGTCCAGGTTGAGCTCCTGTAACCGCAGGTCGCCGGGACTGCTGTCAGTTGCGGTATTCGAGCCGCTGATTCCAGTATTATTATAAGCCGATGCTGAGCGATCCGCCTCGGACCCGGCCGCAGGCTCGAATGGCCTTCGCGGAAAGCGGTAGTCGTGTTCTGTCGCAGAAGGATTCATTGCTGTCGAGGGAGACGCAATTGTGAAGGAAGATGGAGCTTCGCTCACTGCGGTGTCGTACATGTGGTAAATTTTTTGGGGGGAACTGA